GGTTTCGAAGGTCTAGAGCATGTGCCCGACCCCCATTTGCCTTAACGTTTGCTCATGATCTATTGGTTTGACAGAAAAGGGAATCACATGGGTAGCCACCCCCACAAGAGAACAACCAAAATGCGCACGTGTATGCTCTAAGTAAACCCCTAAACCCTAAAACCCTAAAACCCTCATCCCCACACCCTTTCGCAGCCTCTTTGGGTTCCCAGATGATTTCCTTTGTCGTACTAGGTAACGTATAGGGTTTAGGATTTAGGCTTCAGGATATCAAACGGGGCCGGGAAACCTAAACCCGATGAGAAAGTATTGCAAAATCTTGAGATTTTGACCTTGGAAATTGCTTTGAGGATTTAAGGCCGTCATTTGTTTTGTATTCAGTGTCTTTGTGGGTTGGGGTTTCGGGTTCAAGGCTGCCTAGATTGCAAGTGGACGAACGCCAAGGAAGAGACTACCGATCATGACTTCTTCTGGAACAAGGCCGACTGGCCCCCTAAACCTTAAAGACTGAACCCTAAACCCTAAACCCTAAACCCCAAACCCCTAAACCCTAAACCCTAAACCCCTAAACCCCTAAACCCTAAACCGGCAAGATCTCGAAAAGGAACTGTCAAAACGTGGGTTTTGGGCTTAGGGTGAAGGTTCCCTCTTCGTTTTTGCTTGGAAGCCCAGATCTGCTAGAGGGGTTTAGGGTTTAGGGTTTAGGGTTTAGGGTTTAGGGTTTAGGGTTTAGGGTTTAGGGTTTGTGTGGCTCTGCTGCTTGAGTCCGATGGACGCGCTCAGCTCCACACGACTAGGCGATGGTCACCATCACCCTGTCGCCTTGGCACGTTACCTGAAATGGTCCCTCACGAAAGTGTGCATTGCCACCTCTCCGGCGCCATGCCACGATGTGGGTACCAAGCTGCACGAGGCTGGCCAATTTCTCAGCCGTCGTGGGATTCAACAAAACAGTTAGTGGGCAAGCTTCAAGAATTTCCTGCGTGGGAACCGTTTCAGGAAGCAACAGGAGGAACTCTACAATTTCCTTGAGGCATGTCGTGGAGTCGTTAGCATGTCTTACAGCAACACTCCAAACAAAAACAAGTGGATCCAGCGGCTTAGGCATCTCCTGCGGTGTCGCAGCTGGTCGCATGCAGGCCCAGAAGGGCGTGGGGCCGGGCGTGCGCACGGCGGGCTTGCGGCTCAGGCTGATCTCACATTTATGCTCTGTACTCAGAAAGCTCAGATCAGCCTCAATCTTCGGGAGAGGTGAGAGCACAACGCAGCGCGCGTGGAGAAAAGACCACCACAAACGACACATAGGAAGCCAGAGTGGCCAGAAGCAGCCGGCAGGCTGAAGATCCCACCGCCTTCATCGTGCAAGCGACACAGGTCTCTCGCTTTGCGAACAGGGCTGTTGCGCGCCTCAGCTTGTTTTCGGCCAGCTTGCCGCTTCAGTGCAGCAGGCAAACGTCGAAGCCACGTCAGGTGTCCATGCAGAAAGTGTAGCGCTCCTGCTCTTGCCTGCGGCAGCTCGATGCCTGCCTCAGTGTCACAGGCAGCCTCACGGAGTGCATTGAGGGCAGCGTCTAGCCACTCCGGGGCCGCTTGAAGGATCGACCACAGGTAGCCCGGTCCCTGCGTCGCGATCGTGTGCAGCTGCATGGCTCTGGCCGCCATCACATGGACCTCTACCGGGAAGAGTCCGGTAAGGGCGCAGACCTCCGCATCAGTCAAGCCTCGAGAGGAGAACCCTGTAAGCGGTCGCGTCATCTTTCGGTACCACCCATACACATGGGACCTAAGGCGAGCCATCGCGCGCTTGTCGAGGATCCACTGTCCCATGCCATGCATGTACCTTGTCAGCACCAAGCAATGGAACAGCTGCCCTTTTTCGATCACTGTCAAGGCGGAGTTGTAAAGAATGGCCCTTCTGAAGGCATTGAAATTTGCAGCGGCGAGCGCATGTCTGCGATCGATGTCCTGCATGTACTTGCCATCATCCGTCACTAAGCCTCCTAAGTGCACATAAGACTGCGTCAGCGCCAGTTGAACCTGCGCTCCATTCTGTAGGGTAACAGGCAGAAAGGGCTTCTTGGGGCTGAGAAGGCGCTGTCGGAGCCGTCGAGACCCTGGTCCCCTTAGAATGAGCATCGCTTCTGACTTGCCTCTGTCGGAGTTCATATGCAGGCCCACCTTGCTCATTTCTTCGTGCGCAGTCACGGCGGCTTGCTGGACAGCACTTGGTACTTCATCTGCCCTGTCACTGAGGAGCGGCACGCCCACATCATCAGCCCATGTCGGATGTGGCGCGCTAGACCCATCATCAGCGAGCACGTCAAGTCCCGCGTTGCTCAGCCGACTTCGAAGGCCATCCAGCACTGTAGTGAAAATTACTTGAAAGAGGGCATCAGCCAGAGGGGCGCCAGGAGAGGTACCAGTGGCAGTAGACATTAGAATGCTGGCATCGGCGGCAGTGGTGAACCATGCATTGGTGAGGGTGCCTTTCACATAGTTGACCAGCGCGGGCGGCGCATCGGCAAGCAGTCCCGGGCCAACTAGTGCTGCAGCAAGCTCGCGCTGTTTGTCCGGACAGGGGTGAACGCGCTGTATCATGTCTGCAAGACTGGCTTGAGAACGAATCGCCCCATCCTTGAACAAAAAATTCCTAATGACGCTGTAGTAGGCATCTTTGGAATCAATGAAGAGGATGGCGCCGGACTTGCCTTTGGCCTGAAGGTGGTGCAGGTGAGCACGTACGTGCACCATTGGAAGCGCAAGGGGCACACCACGCTGGGATCCACACTGGGCCTCGGACGCCAGCTGAAGGAAATGTCGGACAAGCAAGGGCCTGAAGGCCTGTCCTACTGCTTTACAGGCAACCTCATGTAACATCACGCTTCGCCACCCATTGAGCTCTTTGAGCGGCTTAGCTGGCTTCGGCAGCGGGACACTCAACCCGCCGCTCCACAAGAAAGGTGCTTCTCGCCCAACAGCCATGCGCAGTAGCAAGGGGAAGTGGAGCGCTGCTGCATGTATGGGGGCGGCGCGGAAGGCTTCCGCCGGGATCTTGGAAATCCCAGTGGCTTTGTTGCGCTTCATCATTGCAAAACGTCCCGCAAGTTGCATCAAGCTCGGAGTGTTGTCGGCGTCGACAGGCCCAAGGGCCGCGCTGGGCAGCGCATCTAGCTCAGCTCTGGTGCTCTCCTGCGCCTTTTCAGCAGCCGCGAAGTATTCTGCGAAAGTTCTTTCGACAGCTGTTTGGCCTGCGACAACCTGCCCATCAACTTCAAGCGCAGGCGCGACCCTCAACGGCCTATAGGATCGACCCGTACGCAAGGTGTTGCGGAGCAAGCGAGCGACAGCTTCGGGGCCGTCTGCGCGCGCCTCGGCGAAAGCGGCCCGGGCGTGCGCAGCCGTGTCTCTGCGCATCTGCACGCGGATCTGGGAAGTGGCTGCGCGTATCATCTGGCCGACTCTTGCTTGCAGAAGGCTCCACCTCTCTGCATGGTCGCGTTCAGTTCTGTTCCTACGCCAGCTTTGGAAGCACCTACGAAGTCTTTGAAGATTTTGCATGCTTCGAATGCGGTGCAACTGGCGCCGCAGTGCCCGTCGGTGTCTGATCCAGCGCCATGTGTGGTCAGAAATGCTTGGCTGTCGGGGTCGCTGCCTGTGAAGTGGGAAAGATGCGGCTAGCTGCGTGCCAAGGTATGAGTTAAGTTCATGGAGATAGTCGTCGGCGTGAGCAGTCCATGGCAAGCAAGGCGCTGACTGCATGATTCTGACGACTTCTTCTCTGCCATGAGGGGTGAGCATTGCAGCTCTGTCAATGGACATAGGGCTACAGGTAGGCAAAGCCGCATCTGTCCATTGAACACGTGCAACAACTGGCACGTGATCAGGCCCGTGGATAGTGGGGAAGTCGCCCCAACTGCCCTCAGTCTTAAAGCCGTTTCTTAAGCTGTCCGGCACAAGCAGGTAGTCAATGCACCCTGTTTTGCCTTTACCACCGACCCAAGACACTACCGGTCTAGAGCACTCATCGACTTGAGCACTGCAGCCAAAAGAATGTCGAAGGGCAGTCTCCCTCAGCATCGTTGCAGGCAGATTCTGAGGTTGCGCAGCAAGTGTATCACCGCCCGCTGGCCCTTGTTGGAACCTGGCGTTGCCGTCCAGGAAAAGGAAAGGCCGGAATTTGCGTGGTATCATTCGCAGACAGCTGTCCAGCCTGTTCCACCACGCCGGGACTATTTCTGGTCCAGCTGCAGCAGTAGGGCCATGCCCCACTACACACGCCATGGCCATGCTTCCTAAATCAAGCAAGACAACCAGGAGTCTAGGCTCAGCGACAAGGATGGAGGCTTGTGAAGGACAGAACTGCACTGCCTCTCCAGTATGGCTCTGCGCGAAAGGACAATCTGCTTTGACCCAGAGCTGGCACCCAAACTGGCCAGCATCATTGGGACCAGCGTAGACATGATACTCTCCCTGCCTAGACCTAGGCTCGGCGGGCGTATACCTACATTCCTGCAACCCTATGAGGTGGACATCCCGCTGCGCGAACAAGGTGGCAATTGTGTGCCTCTGCGCCAAGGATTGGAGAGACAGTGTGTTGTAAGTGGCCATGCGGAGCTGCCAGGTCATGACTGGCGGCATCTTCTGGGTTTTGCAACGCAAGTTAGGCTTGACATGACGGCGTCTGTCAAGGTTCGGCCACGTGCACAGAGACGGATGACTGCTGGGCTTTCCCTGAATAGGTCTCATGGTGCCTGCCTCATCAACCGGCGGTACGGCATGGGAAGGCACAATGGCATTGTCATGCAACCAACACCATTGGAACGCAGTGCTGAGCACAACATTGACGATGTGGTCCTGCAGGATTGGGTGGCGGCATTTGCCCTGCACAGCTCTTTTGGCAGCAACATCCACAAATTCGTTGAAAGGGTTGCCTGTGTGGCTGGAAATGTGGTGCCAGTCGAGCCTTGGTACTCGGCTTGTTGCAAGGTGCGCAAGCAGCGCTAGTGCCTCACAGACAGCCGATCAGACTGCTTGGGCCAAGCTATGGCCTGCGCAATCGTCGCTGCCGCTTTGGCATCATAACCGATGCTGGCTGGTATGTCTGCAACCGAACCTACCAGGACCAACGCAGCAGCAAGCGCATAAAGCTCAGCTTGATGGGAGAGACCTTGCTGTCCTACCTCTGTTTTGTGCTCATCAGGGAGAGCATTGGCGGCAAAACCAACGAAGCACCAACCGTGCGCTTGACGTGCCAACGCGCAGACAGCCCAGGCAGCTATCCCAGTGCGTGGGTCATAGGAGCCATCAGTGTACAGGGCGAGCTCGTGAATGGGCTTTTGCACAAGGAAGCACTCAAGGTCCTGGAGGGCCTGTAGAGTTGTGTGGTGAAGATGTCCTAGCTGACCCCACTCTAATTCCAAGCATCCAAGCCCAAACTCATGAGGGTTAAAGACTGAGTCAAGCATGGCAGGCACAGTGGTCGTCAGGAAAGGCTGCGCAACATGCACACTATTGTTGCAGCGCTGGTGGGAGACCTTGACCTGAGACACTGAGCAGCCTAGGTCGACGACGCCTGGAAGTGCACCTGGGACACCTCCTTGCACAGCGGCACCAGCCTGCGCAGCGACCGGGGAGTGACCTGAGCTTGTGGCACCTGGGACACCCTGCGCAACGGCACCAGCCTGCGCTGCGACAGGGAAGTGACCTGAACCTGCGGAACCTGGGACACCTTGCGCAACGGCACCAGCCAGTGCTGGGACCGAGAAGTGACCTGAGCCTGTGGCACCTGGGACACCTTGCGCAACAGCACCAGCCTGCGCAGCGATCGGGAAGTGACCTGAACCTGCGGAACCTGGGACACCTTGCGCAACGGCACCAGCCTGCGCTGCGACCGGGAAGTGACCTGAGCCTGTGGCACCTGGGACACCTTGCGCAACGGCACCAGCCTGCGCAGCGACCGGGAAGTGACCTGAGCCTGTGGCACCTGGGACACCTTGCGCAACGGCACCGGCTTGCGCTGAGAATGGGAAGTGACCTGAACCTGCGGAACCTGGGACACCTTGTGCAACGGCACCAGCCAGTGCTGGGACCGAGAAGTGACCTGAACCTGTGGTTCCTGGGACACCTTGCGCAACGGCACCCGCCTGCGCTGCGACAGGTAAGTGACCTGAACCTGCGGAACCTGGGACACCTTGCGCAACGGCACCAGCCTGCGCAGCGACCGGGAAGTGACCTGAGCCTGTGGCACCTGGGACACCTTGCGCAACGGCACCAGCCTGCGCTGCGACAGGGAAGTGACCTGAACCTGCGGAACCTGGACACCTTGCGCAACGGCACCAGCCAGTGCTGGGACCGGGAAGTGACCTGAGCCTGTGGCACCTGGGACACCTTGCGCAACAGCACCAGCCTGCGCAGCGACCGGGAAGTGACCTGAACCTGCGGAACCTGGGACACCTTGCACAACGGCACCAGCCTGCGCTGCGACCGGGAAGTGACCTGAGCCTGTGGCGCCTGGGACACCTTGCGCAACGGCACCAGCCTGCGCAGCGACCGGGAAGTGACCTGAGCCTGTGGCACCTGGGACACCTTGCGCAACGGCACCAAGGGCCTGCGCATCGACCGGGAAGTGACCTGAACCTGCAGTACTTGGGAAGCCTGGGACGCCTGGCTCAGCGGCTCCGTCAACCTGCGCTGCAACAGGGTCCCAGAGACTCCAAAACACGTTAAATAAGAAAAAACACGTTGATTAACGTGATCTGTCTTAAAATTCACATGTAATTAAGCGATGTTGCTTTAAATAGGGTGTATTTCCCTTAATTAACACAATTATGTTCTAATTAGAAGCGAATTGATCCTTAATTAACGAGAGGTTCAATTTTTTTAGCACGTATGTCTTAATTAAGCTATGTTTACAACATATCTTTCCTTATTTTTAGGAGATATTTTTGCTATAATTAGGAGCTGGATTTTTGGCTCATGTTTTGGAAACAGGCATCGATTTTTGCTTGATGTTTTGGAAAAGGCCTGGTTTTTGCTTGCCAAAAATGGTTTTAACATGCAGTTTAAAGTTTTGCAAAATGCACTCTTGCGCGAGCATGCAATGCATGCCATGCGAGCTCAACAGCTAGCATGCATGGTCGGAATGAGTGTTTTTTCGTGGCATGCATGGTGTAGAACTGATTTTTTTTGCATGGTGCATGTTGATCGCTCGAGGCGGCACAGCTGTTGAGCATGCACACTCACTGCATGCTCACGTCCATGCATGAAAGTGCATTTTTTCAGCGATGCTCATGAATGTACGTCTGGGATGTTTATTTTCATGTGACATGTTTAGGATGTGTGCCTAGGATGTGTGCCTAGGATCGACGTGTGCCTAGTTTTCTCCATCGCCAAGGCGAGCAGTTGCACAGCAACTTTCTTTAGCATGGCTCCAAGTCCACGAGCGAAGTGCACAGCATCCGCGAAGGATCTTATGAAATGCTTCCGCCTCAACTGCAAAAAGTTTGAGCCCGAGAGCTACCAGAAAGCAGACTTAGATGAGTTGGTGGCGGACAAGGAACAGCTTTTGTCCGACATCATAGACGAGACACCCAGGGCAAACGAAAGCATCGTCGCTGAAGCACTGGATCTTGCCTATGATGGCCAGAAGAAAAATGTTTTGAAAGAAGTCGCGAGAAAGATCTGTGCTTGTGTGCAGTACGTGAGGCAGAAGGGCCAAAGCAGTAGCTCTTGCAAAAAGCTTACCCCAGCTGTTGCAAGATTGGTGCAGAAGCATCGAGAGCGATACCAGGGTCCGAAACGGATGTTAAGCACGGGTTCTGCATCGTCGACACCTCCACCGAAGGCCAAGAAGGGTGCTTTTGCTCATGATGCTTTTGCTCATGATGAAGATGCTGCACAGAGCAACTCTGCTGCAGCAATTTTTGCTTCATATGGATTGCAAGATCCCGAAGCAGTCGCTAGTGACTGCAGCGATGTGATGTCGATCCAAGAGTCAGATGCCGAGAACACTTGCCCTGACACCGGCTCTGCCCCCAGCAGCAGCCGATCTCGTGTGCGAGCACGTGCAGATGGGTCTGTCGAAAAGGCCAGTATGGTTGCGGGTCCGACGGGCTTTTGCCTGGTGCAGTTCGGTTCTGAAAAAGCTTTCAAAAGTGAGGTGCCCAATGTGTATCTGGAGGAGAATAAGCCCAAGAAGAGAGCGAAGGCGAAAGCCAAACCTGCAGCTGTTGATGATGACCGTGATGGGGGGGGCAGGGTGGATGATGGTGCACAGGATCCTGCAGGTGATGATCCAGCAGCGATCAGTGCTGAGGATATCGATGCCAAGGATGTGTGTGTGTGCATGTCGACTCTGAAGATGATGCAGAGTCCGTCGTTCTGCAGGCCGATGAGTCTGCAGATGAGGGTGAAACGGGCCCTTTGGATGCAGAGAGGAAGACGTGGCATGGATATAGCTTGGAAGATCTACCACAGGAGGCGTGGCCGAACCCGGAGATCCACAGGGGGAAGCACAGTTGGTGCATCCACCTTGACAACGAGCAGGGGGTGATCGATGTTTTGATGCGGAGTCGTGCTTTTTGGATCAAAAAACCTGTGAAAGCCAAGGGTCAGCATTCATGGAGTAAGTATAGCTCGGTGGCAGAGGCCTGGGAAGCGACGAAGACAGCATGTAGAAATGCAAACGTGTTGAAGCGGCCTGCCGCTGCGATTAAACTTTTGTCCTGATGGTGCTCTGCAAGCGCCTCAAACATGTGCTGCAAGACTATAGTTTGTGCTTGATCGAAAGCTGATTTTGTACAGAACACGGAAGGGTTGCGAGAAACGGAAAACTTCTGCATGCATGCTGCGTGTTTTTCCAAGTTTTGACCATTTTGCTTCAGTCGATCTGTGCACGTGCATGGCTCGTATGTCGTATGCATGGCTTGCATGTTTGCTGAAGTTTTTGTACAGTAATTTGTTTTGAATTAGTTTGGGGCCATGCGTTTTTAGCTGGCCGAGGCGCGGGAAGTGGAAGTGTAGATCTCTCACTCTGTCAACATATGAGCAGGTCATTTCTTGAATGTTGCTGCAGAAACGTATACTATGCTCGGCAGGTGCAGATGCATGGGCAGTTTTGTTGTCCGTCCTCGCAGGCTGTGATAGCATCGAGCATGCTTCTCTTTAGGGAGCTTGGCATAAGGTTTAGGGTTTAGGGTTCTTAGGGTTTGCGAATTCTGCGGCAGGTGGACACGGTGATCTCGATCATTCTTCGTTTTCCATGGATGTCGATCGAGGCCTGCTGCATGCATGCTTATTGGTTTGGGCTTGCAAGTGCTTGTGGCGTCCGAGTGTGTGGCCTTGAAAATCTGACCGAAGAAGAGTCTAGATATCACATGTCGTAAACATATACTTTAAATATACAGCAAAGATATGTGGCAGGTGCATGCTGCTGGCGATCGATCTCGATCTCTGCGATTTTGTGCGGCCGCCCAGCAACTCCGAGCTGAGAGCATCTCAGTCGAAACCCTAAACTCCCAAAACTTTAGACCCTGATATTTCCAAAGCACAAACCCCAAACTTTAAGCCCTTTAAGTCTATAACCTGTAGCTAAATATACACCTGGCTCAACTTCAGTTTAAACTTGAAACTTACCCTGATCCTTAATCCACGGCTGTATATATACGAAGGTCCATGGAGCACAGCTGTTGAAGTGTGGGCTCGTTTGGGTTTCACTTCAACAGGTCGCAAGGGTTCCCAAGAAAACCGTCCGAAAGCTTAGGCCTGACTGCGTCAACTGCGTTGCAGAGGTCGACATCCAGCTGCAAGGAGCTCAGATATCGACGTGCACCGTTTATGTTGCAGGTTTGGGTTTGGGGTTTCGGGTTTGGGGTTTGGACGAGGCTTGAGACTTGAGGGTGCACTGCAGACGTCTCGCAGCCCAGAGCTCACCAACTTAAATCCCAAACCCGAAGAAAACCTCAGCCCGAAACCCGAAGTCCTTTCTACCTAATTACCTAAACACGCACTAAATCGAACCCCTTTGATCTGCAGGCTACGAGCAGCCGAACACTGTGACTGTGTGATGCTGCGAGCTCAGCACAGCTCTCCCCCCCTCCCCCCCCTCCCCCCCCCTCCCCTGCCCTCCCCCCCTCCCCCCCCACCGCTTCCTCACACAACCCAAACGAGAGAATCTCTCGTTTGGGTGCCCCCCCCACCCCCCCCCCCCCCCCCCCCCCCTCCCCCCCCCCCATCATACCAATTTGCAGCCTGTTTGCGTTTAATTCAGCGCCCAAACCGGCCCTCGCCTTAAGGTGCTCGCACGTTCATCAAACTCCAACCCAAAGCACCAAACCCCAAACCCTGAAACCATTAAGTGGAAACTTGAAACCCTAAACCTTAGGGTCTCTTGGGTTTAGGCTTTAGGCCTAGGTTAAGGGTTTAGGGTTTAAGGTTTAGGAGTTTAGGGTTTAGGGTTTAGGGTTTAGGGTTAACGGTTTAGGGTTTAAGCTTAGGGAGGTTTAGGCCTAAACTTAAACCCTAAACCCCAGACCCTAAACCTTAAACCCTAAAAAGTAGCATTCTGAGGACGCCTACTCCTTAATCAAAGGGGGACTGGAGTCCCTGGGTCTTGGGAAGCTAAAGGGTTTGGGGTTGGTTGTTTTGGTGTTGGCCCATTTTTTCATAGCTTTCGTCAGCCCTCGTGAGTGTCAGCTCAGGGTTTAACCCAGGTTTAGGGTTTAGGGTTCAGGATTTGGCATTTGTAAGCCTTTGGGGTTCAGCCTAGGGTTCGGGGTTTTAGGTTGAGTCGTCCTGATTTCCACTGGGCCCATAAGCCTCTTGCTCTCTAGGGGTCACTCTTAAGGCTTACGGTTCGGGGTTTCTGGACTGCGAGGTGGAGATACGATTCCGACGTGCTCTGCCATGGATGCTCCAGGCCCGGCCGTTTGCACTGCTTTGGAGTGTGAGCTGAGCACCCAAAAAATTTTTAACACACATTTCTTTTAACATTTTTTAACTGTTAAAAATTGTCGGTTTTCCAAAGGATTTCCTTTTAAAAGACGTTTTTTTTAACAGTCAAAAAATGTTAAAAAAATGGCTGTTAAAAATTTTTGGTTCAGAGCTCGGCAGGTTTGGTCTGCCTTCGGCAAGATGGTCTGAGGCGCTGGAGCTCGCTGTGAGCCGAAGTTTCGATCGTGTACTGGCTTATTTCTGCTTTCACATGCACATGTAGAGAGATGGTTGTTGCTTATATGTTTTGAGCACATCAGTGCAACGATCCTCAAGACCTAGGAGCCAGATTCACGACTACATATAGATCTGTTGCCTTGCCGACAGCATGGGCAAGAAAGTGATTACTCCCAAGGCCAAGGCTGCGCCAAAGAAAACGGCAGCGAAGAGCAAGGCGAACATGTCCAAGCTAGCGAGGGCTGCAAAAGCCAAGGTAGAGAAGAACTCACCGCGACCCCAGAAGAAAGGCCCAAAGGCCGAGATCGATGAGACAGATGCGCAGACTTCGGAAAGCACCAAAGGCCTAGGATACCCAAGAGGCACGATCAGTGCCTTGATTACTTCGCTGAAATACCAAGCGAAGGCGAAGAAGGTGACGGAGGATCAGAGGGCTGATTGCATGAAGACTTTGAGCGATACTGTACTGCGTTAAGAGTTAGGTGCTTTTATAGACTTGCTGATTTTACTTAGTATGAGATGTTTTTTTGTCCATATGAGTAGCTGCGGGATACATGCTTGTGTGCTGCCGGCCATAAAGCCTGCAGTTCATTTATGCCAAGGAGTACCAGTCGGGCGACCTCGCTACCCAGCGATCCATCTTGAACAACCTCTCCAAGTTCGGTGTCCAGAACTGCAGCTGGGTGCACACTCTTCACAAAACCACGACCAACACAGAGGTGGAGGCTGAGCGATTGCGAACCAACTTCTTGACCCGGATGCTGGGGCGCAGTGAGATGTTCGTACCTTGTGCTTTGCTGCAGTGTTCGTTTTGAAGTTTTTTTCCGACAAGACTCTGAGGAAAGCAATCTTCAAGCTGCAGGGTGTGGAGCACAAAGACTTGTCGGAGGAGGAGCAAGCTGAGGTGTTGGAAGAGCTGCTCACGGCCCAGGAGAAACTCTTCGGCTACGAGCGGCACGTGGAACGACATGGGAAGTTCCGAGTGTTGGATCGCTTCTTGTTCAAGTGGTCCGAGGGTCAGACGCTTGACACCGCCACGAGCAGCCAAACCCAGAGTGTTTCGACTGCCACAAACTTGAAGAAAACGGGCTCTGCAAGGGCCGTGGAGATGATGAAGCATGGTGGCTCGCTCACTGAGGGCGATGGGGATGGCGAGCCGAGCACAGCGAAGCCCAGCGAGAGCTTTGGCCTCTTGAAGGAGAAGCGAAGGGAGTTGGAGTCCTTTCGTACGAGATTGAGCAAGACGAGCGAGGACTTGCTTTTCGTCCTGACACAGGTCCGCAGCTTGGAGGACTCCTCGTGGGCCAAGAAGGAAAGCGAGCTGCAGAAAGCCTGCACTGCTTTGGACGGTTTTCTTCAGAAGATTCGCTCTGCCCTTGCTGAGAAGCTCCCGCAAGACGTTGCCGACGACTACACAACCCAGATTGGCGACTTGGCCAAGGTGCTGGAGGAGGCCACTCTACACGAGAAGGCTTCCAAGCAAGTTTTGAAGACGGCTAGAGCACTGCTGCTGTGAGCTGTCTCTTGTGTGCACTCCAGGTTGAAAGGATCGTAAGCATCCTTTCAGGATTCGTTGCTGCTAGCACCCGCCGGCACTCAAAAAGAAAGCATTAGGGTTCTGCATGCGACAGCACCTGTGTGTAGCAAGCTTCTGCAAGTTGCCCTTGCTTACCTCTTGCATGCCGCCAGTCGAAGCTCCAGAGGTGTACTTTGCTTGAAAGGACTACTAGGACGGACTGCTGCAAGATTTGTTAACACAGGGGCATTTGTTTCGTACTGTCTAGAATATATGTGTTGCAGAGCTAGATGCTTGCATGCACGTCGTACTTGACATAATTGTTTTGTTCGTTCAGCGACGGAGCTCATGCATGCCGGCCTGTTTTGTTCCTTTTGCCTTTTCTTCTTTGCAGGAGATTTGTCCATGTACCTGAAGCGAACACTGGCTTCTACAGATGACATTCCGGAGAAGAAGCGGTTCAGGGCTGATATTTTGGACTTGACCATCAGCTCAGATATTTCTGGACAGCGGGCCGCCAGGCTCATTCACCATGCGAAATTAGCCAACACAGAGAATATCAGCGACTTAGCAAAGGTTCCTGTGGGCAAAAACTCTGCGAGGGATCTGTTGAGGCGATGTTTCCGCAATTCGAAATGGCCAGATGTTTATACATTGGAGGTTCCGGCCTGGAACCCTGGCAAGAACGTGCCCCAGAATATGAAGCTGCACATGCTGCTACCGCATGAATTGATGCTTGCTGTGCTGAAAGTGAATAGCATGGACGGTCTCTTGCGACGGCAGCAGCTGGCATTGGCCCATCGGCCCGACTTAAGCAGACACCTTGGCCAGGCCTCTGCCCAGCTCGGCATTGATGCTACGAAGACTTTGATTGCTGGACTTTGGGTGGACTCTGTCCCGTTTAACAGCGACAGAACACACAGCCTGGAGGTCTTCACATTCAGTTTGATTGGAGAGGGGCCGATGAGGTTTCCGATTTGTTGCTTCCCCAAAGCCTTTTTGAAAAAGCACTCCACCCACGATGCGATACTCGCCGTTTTGGCTTGGTCCTTTCGGGCAACCTTATGTGGAGTGTGCCCGTCTATGCGACACGATGCAACCGCTTGGCGAACGACAGACAAGCATCGACGACGGCTGCAGGGAAAATCTGCCCCGATCATGATACTGGGAGAACTCCGTGGCGATTGGTCCATGTATAAAGACCTTCTCGAGTTCCCGTCATGGGCAGCTGCTGGCCCGATATGTTGGCGGTGCGACTGTACAAGGGCCCAACTGAAGGACTTTACCCTCGCATCGCTGACGAGGCTTCCATGCATGCATGTCTGAAGAATACATACAAATATAGCAGGCCTTACTTTTCTCACGAGTCTGGAATCAACAATGCCACCCTGATTTCACCTTAAAGTAGGAGGTCTTTGTGTTTTTTCTGTTTGTTTCATCGCACTTTTGACTCCTCAGGCGGAGGGAGTTGACCTCCATGGACTTCTTGATGCGACAACATGCAGCGGACAAATTCATTTCGCAGATTTTCAGCATCCCTCTTTTCGGTTCAGAGAATTGCAAGTTCGACTTCCTTCACTGCGTGGACCTGGGAATAACCTGTGACTTTATTGGATCGATGTTCTACTACCTGCAGGAGTATGTTTTGCCGGGCCGTTCTCGCCATGACAAGTGTGCTCTCATTTTCCAGGAAATCTCTGCTTACTACAAGGCCAACGATTCCGAGAACCGCCTTCCGAAACTGGTCCCTACAATGTTGAGGGCAGAGGAACGTGGGAAAATGAAAGCTCCCAAACTTCGTGCAAAGGCAGGGGAGGCGAGAACACTTGTCCCCTGTGTCATGCAGATCGCAGACAAATTCTTGGACTCCTCTGTCCCGGCTCAGAACACGATGATTCATGCGAGCCGCCGCTTGAACAGCATGTACGAGTGTCTGAGCGAGCAACGATGGCTGCCAGACCTCTTCCAGCAAGCATCCCGCGAATTTTTGCTCCTGCTGGAGGGGTTGGAAAGTCATTTCCTGGACCTCAAGCTTTTTAGGGTTAAACCTAAAGCCCACCAGCTTTTTGAGTTGGGGTTGGACCGTGTGAATCCGACTAAGCATTGGACGTACCGTGACGAATCGTTCGGCCACAGCATGGCCCTTTTTAGCACGCCGCAGAGGTGGCCGCTTTACCATGTCTGCAGTTTCTTGGCAAGTGCTAAAGCGTTTCACAGCTGGCAACCGACTGCCACGACTCGATGAGTGAAGAAAATGGCACAACTGGGACGTATGAGAACCCGCACTGGTCAGAGTTTTTTTACCAAATATGTTTTTTATGGAATAAAGACTTTGATAATATTCGCTTTTGGATGTATACCAAATTTCTACACACAGAAATTGTTAGATTCATGTCGGTATATAAGTATAGATATATATCACTATAGAAAAATATTCCTAAATTAAGCAAGAATTTTGTCTTAATTAAGAAAGAAATCAGGGCCCCTTAATTAAGAGATGCATCCTTAAATTCAGAACGCAAAACAACTCTTAAACTTATTTAAGATGTTTTGGAGTCTCTGGGGTAGGAACCTGGCGGACCTGGAAAGCCTGGGACGCCTGGCGCAATGGCTCCGTCAGCCTGCGCTGCAACAGGGTAGGAACCTAGCGCTGGAGCACACAGCTTTGTGGGCGGCGCCGGACCATCACGGCTTTGCTCACGTGAGACCAGCTGGAGCTGAGGAGGATTCTCTGGCTCAGCACAAGAGGAGTCCACCACAGTCGCTGGTTCAGAAGTAAGCAAAGTAGGCATTGCCGGGGTGGTGTAGGGAAGGCTGCTCTCAGGTGTCGGCACAGAAGCGTCCCTGCGAGTCGGGCAAAAGCCAGCAGACTTGCGCACCTGTGTGACTGTGACATCCGGAGATGCCAGAGCATAACGGGGGCTGCTTACAGGTTTCGTCAGGGAACCGTCCCTGTGAGTTGGACATGCGTAGGCCATGTGCAAAGTATTCCGAAAGTTGTTAACAACCCTGCATGCCTCAAGCGTCATTGCATGTAGTGGAGGTTCTAGCCCTTCACAAAAGGAAACAGTTCTGAGAAGTTTAGCACCTGGCTTTAGCCAACTGCTTCTATGTACAGGAAAATCATGCCACCCAGACAATTTTTTGCTGGCAGCATTCTTACCGAAGCCTTCCTTGCAAAGATCCTTAGGCGCGAAGCAGTCAGAGTGAACTCTCTTCTCAACACAGTTGCTCGCCCACAAGACTGCGGAGGTACATTCACCCGGAAAGCTCAGCGCCGAAGGTCTATGCCAGGAAGACTCCTGACGGCTTGCTTCAACCAGGTCGTCCTTGATTCTGGGGTCGACGAGCCAGGTGAGCTGATGTCTCGACGAAGTCGCCTCAAAACACATTTCGTGGTGTTGCTGTAGCGCCAGAAAAGCTGCACATGCCGGCGAAACATAGTCAGGATCGTTGGTCACTGAATGGCACCCGCGAAAGGCTAAAACGGCCTCGGAGTCATGAAACGGCCTGCCTGCTTCTCGCAAGCAAACAAACAGGCCTAGCCAGGGGGCGACTCGTCTGTCTTTTCCCCTGGTTCGCTTTTCCTGGAGCGCCTGGGGGTGCGCTCCCTTGCATCGTTCGCTGCTTTTGCTGCCGACTCGGATGCATCCTTGAGGGCTGTGTTCAAGGCCGTTGTCAGGCATTGCTGACGCGCCTCGACGGCTTTGGTCTCCCTGTCTACGTCCATGCGTACTTCGCTCTCTGCTTTTGCGGCTTCTGCCACCTCGTCCTCTGTCAAGTCGATCATGCCTTCCGGAGTCTCGCCAGTGGTTGCAGCGGCAAGTTGCGCCGAAACCGAGGCGAGCTTGGATGCCCATTGCGTCTCTACCTGCGCAAAGTCTTCCATAGCCACTGCTCTCTCCTTGAACTGTTGTTGCAGCAATTCCTCTATGGAGCGCAGGTATGCTTCCCAATTGCTGGCATATGTAGCTTTCTGCGTGCGAATGGCTTCTAGTTCTTTGCGCACCTCTGTCTGCGCGGAGACCAGCTTGTGCAGGATTTTCCCCTGCACGGAAGCCTGGCCTGTGTTCAGAGCACCTAGTTTTGCTTGCAAATCCGGGGACATCTTTTCTGCAGGGACAAGGGCGGCTAGTTGCGCTAGCAACTTTTGCTCCTCTGTCTGCTGGGGTGGCAGCGCTGGGGCACTCACGGCCTTTGGTCCAGGTCCAACCTCTGGTTCTGGAGGCAGAGGCAGCTGCGCTGCTTGCGGTGCCTGTGGTGTGTGTGGTTTGCCACCCTTGCCTCCCTTCGCTGGTGCCTTTGGCACCGTGGAAGCTGTTCCTGGATCTGGTTGCCTTCTGCGCGGCGAAACTCGCCTGCGTGGTGACTTTGCTTGTGAACGCCAGGGCGCGCTCGACCAACTGTCCTCCTTGGCGGTGTAGGCGTACCACGGCTGCCCACAAAGACCACAAAAAGTCTGTGATCCTTTGACCATGTTGCCACAACTGTTGCACTTCCATGGCTGTGTCCTGCCCGCCATGGTTGTTTCTGCTGAGCTGCTTCCACGACGAACACTTCTGCCGCGAAGGAGCTCTAGCGCTTGTCTGGGTAAAGAAGTCGGCGCGTGATGACTGCGCAACAACTGCGCCGCTCTTCTGACCACCACTGTAGGCACGCTCGCTCCCGACACAAACTGCAGGAGGGTGGCTCGCGCTCGCGTTCGCAAGCGTCTGCGTGCTCTGTGCCAGGATGGTTCCTTCACGTGGCACTTTCGAGGAATTTTGTCCAGTCAATGTCAACAGAGCAAAGACGAATACAAATCTCATGCACTGAAAGATTGTTCCAAACACGTCGGCAAAGTTAATTGCAGCGAGGTGCTTGAAGTGAACCGGGCCAGCAAAGAGGTTGGCGCAGCAAAGCGCGGCAGCCTAAATCCAGCTCAGTCGGAACTCCACGCCAACGACGAAGTCAAGCAAGGTGTGATGTTGATTAGCACAGCCACCGCACTTGCGGACGTGGCGTGCGCGAGGGTTATTACAACCACTCTTAGGGCCAGGGCCTCCCGCAACGTGGACCTCAAGGGAAACTACACGCTGGCAAGCCGAGACACCTAGGGTTTAGGGTTTAGGGTTTAGGGTTTAGGGTTTAGGGTTTAGGGTTTAGGGTGACCTCATTGATGACCGTATCGTTTCCACAGTTTGCTGGGGAACCTCCCTGGACCCTATTTATAAGCCCTATCCACCCTAAACCCCTGAACCCTAAACCCTTCAACCCCTAAACCCTAAATCCCTAAACCCCTAAACCCCTAACCCCTAAACCCCTAAACCCCTAAACCCCTAAACCCTAAACCCCTAAACCCCTAAACCCCTAAACCCCTAAACCCCTAAATCCTTCAACGGCGTGGGCGAGGGCGGCCGCTACATCAACGCCAGCGCCGATTACGCCGAATTGATACGTGCGTTTCCATGGGTGGCTGCCAAGCGCAGCTCGCTCGACATCTGGCGCAAGGGCGCCGTTGGCGTGACCCACCAGCATTGCGAGACGTTGGCTGCGTCCGCGTCGTCAGCGAGAGCTGCTTGGGCGTTTACACGGTGAAGGCTGGCCTTAGGCCAGTGGATCCCCGTTGTCGACGCAGAGGTTGGGTGCGGTCCCCGGTGACGCTCCCACGTCGTCGTCCTCGCCATAGCTCAGGACATGACAGGGCTGGCTTCAGCATGCACTTGTTTCTGAAGTCCCATGTCGTGGTCGTCATAAGAATGCACTCTGATGATGTCATCGCAAAGCCGCATTCAAAGCATCACTCGCTCCCTCGTCAGCACCAGAAGAACTTGCACTTCTGGACTGGCCACTCGAAGGGCATTCACGCGGGCCCTAAACACTAAACCCCTAAACCCCTAGCTAAACCCCTAAACCCTAAAGTCCCTCAACCCTAGGTCACCAAGCCCCGAACCTGAAGCCCTTCATGTGGCTCACCTGGATTTCGAAGTTCTGTGCCTCGGGTGTCGATTTAGGGAGGGTTTAGGGTTCAGGGTATAGGGTTCAGGGTTTAGGGTTTACGGCTTTAGGCAAGTTGCAAGGTGAATAGGAAAAACGGTTTCTGAGTACCTGAAAGGTACGCAGTGGTTTTCACGTGTCCGAAGTAGGCTTGTAGCTTCTGTTGCCCTAAACCCTAAAGCCTATAAACCCTAAACCCTAAACCTTAAACGAGTACCTGACTCTACCTGTACCCTCACTAAACCCTAAACCCTAAACCCTAAACCCTGAACCCTGAACCCTAAACCCTAAACCCTAAACCCTAAACCCTAACGGCTGGCCGCCAAAAGGCCGTCATGCGCATGGCTCTGCTGGAGGGCACCGAATTCAGCCTGCAGGTGCGCGCCTTCAGCGCCCGAACTCCTGATTCAGGGTTGGGGTTTAGGGTTTAGGGTTTAGTGGTTAGGGGTTTAGGGTTTAGGGTTTCGAGTTTAGAGTTTAGGGTTTAGGGGTTAGGGGTTAGGCTTTAGGTGTTAGGGGTTGGGGTTTAGGGTTTAGGGTTTAGGTTCAGGGTTGAGTGCATACTTGTTGGGTTCCTCATGTCATAAATATTGGCGAGTGCTTTTGGGGATACCGTATCGATCCTATCTCCTCATGATTCTCCGCATAAGTCAAAAGCATTCGCACCTCTTGAATCTGTAGCTACCCTCCCTACTTTCAGCCGGTGGGGGCGTTCAACCGAAAACCAAAGTCCTTAACCCCAGGCCCTTCCAATATCCGAACAATCACGAAACCCTAAACCCTGAACCCTAAACCCTAAACCCTAAAATCACCCAAAACTCCCTAACCCTCGACTCAAAAAGCACCAAGATGACACAAAAGGCAGGCTCGGTGCATGGGTTGTTCTAAAGGTCCTTCAAAGGGCTGGACATGGGCTTAGTAGGGGGTGTAGCCTGCCACACCCCCTGAACCCTGAAAACCCTAAACCCCCTACACCCCTAAACCCTCATCCCTGAATGCCGTGTGTTTGGGGCTGGGGGAGGGGGGGGGGGGGAGCTTGGGACGCCTTAAAAACCTAAATTACACACGGACGGTTCCGGGTTTGCACTTCAGGGTGTGCTTCTTAGGTGGCTGGGAGCCAAGTCGCAACCAGAAACCCCCTAAAGCCGTACAAAGAACCACTAAACCCTAGACCTTAACTTGCTTTCTAACCTTCTCTGCAGGGCTTTAGGGTTCTGGACTCTTTCGCTGGCTCGAGTAAAGATCTATCTCCCGCTCACCCTAAACCCTAAGCCCTAAACCCTCAACCTGGCTTGCCCTAAGGATCCATGTACCTATATAGTATATACTTGGGCCCTAAAGCTACTATATAGGAACCCCTTTAAGGCCCAAGTATATACTATACAGGTACATGGATCCTTTGGGTTGAAAGCATGAAACCACTGCCTGCTTCAACAACCCGCTTGCAAAAACCTCGTGTTTGGAAGGCGCTTAGCTCTGGCGGTTCAGAGTTCAGGGATTAGGGTTTAGGGTTTAGGGTTTAGGGTTTAGGGTTTAGGGTTTAGGGTTTAGGGTTTAGGGTTCGGACTCAAACACGTCTCGTCTTCTTCAGGAAGTATGGGCGACAAAAGCCTCACTATATTTGGCTTTGAGCGAGATAAGGCTGTACGTGGATCCTCTATGTAAACGCTCTGGATTCAGTTGGCCTTATGAACCCTGAACTCTAAACTCTAAACCCTAAACCCTAAACCCTAAACCCTGATCCCTAAACCGAGGTCGGTGACTTGGATCGCAGCGAGACCTATCTTCACGCTGTGCGGACCCACTTCGGCCAGCAGCACCTGAGCGAAAGTGCCCTAAACCGTCATCCCTATGCATTCGGGGCGTTTTCAGGGCGTTTGTGGTTCCAAGGGTAGTTTCATGGGCCGTCAATATGGTCCCTTACCCTCTTTGAAGGGTTCTGATGTATGGGCCCTTGGGTTGTCGAGCATCCTTAAACCCTAGCCCTAAACCCTAAACCCTAAACCCTAAACCCTAAACCCTAAACCCTAGAAGTCAGACCCTTAGAGTGGTCGGAAGGTGCAGTTAGGAGGAAGTCCTTGGCCTTAAGCCAGCTCAAGGAGCTTGCCATAAACCCCGAACCCAAGGCATTTGAGATAAGGTTTAGGGTTTAGGGTTTAGGGTTTAGGTTTAGGGTTTAGGGTTTAGGGTTTAGGGTTTAGGGTTTAGGGTTTACCTTATCGCCTGCACCGTAAACCTCTCCAGGAACCAGGGCAGCCACCCCACCACACATGTTGCATGCTGCCTGGTTGGGAACCCCTATAGGGTTTTAGGGTTTTAGGGTTTTAGGGTTTAGGGTTTAGGGTTTAGGGTTTAGGGTTTAGGGTCGGAATAATTACTAAGAGTATTCCCTTAGGGTCCCTTTTGTAATTATGCTATACTAACCCCCCAAAACCTCATTCTAATCATTCAGGCCCCTATATCACTCGCCTTCCGTGCCCACCTGAAGAAGACCGGTCGTCCCACAAAGCACCTCATGCTGGGGCCTAGGGTTTAGGGTTGAGGGTTTGAGGTGTGAGGTTCAAGGTTCACAGGGTTTGGGAACTTTCAGGCTTTCGCAGAAGTACCGAAAACTTTTCGCCCGGACAAAACCGGGCCGGCCCCGCCCCGGTCGCCTCCTGCAACACCAAATTTTGTTTGCCACTTAGCAGCCTCAGCCCTGAAACTCAGCATCCTCAAACCCTACAAGTTTCCCCGTCCCTAAACCCTAAACCCTAAACCCTAAACCCTAAACCCCCAAAAAACTCTCCCTCCCCTCCCTCCCCCCTCCCTCTTCTTTCCTGAGGGCTTCAGAGTTCTCAGGGCTGACTGGCCGCGCTTCACCGAGGCCCCTTACAGGCCCCGAAAAACAAACCGTAACACCTCAACCCCTCGACTCCCTGAACTCCCTACAACCCCCTCGGCTTAGGGTTTAGGGTTTGGGGTTTAGGGTTTGGGGTTTGGGGTTTAGGGTCTAGGGTTTAGGGTTTGGGGTTTCCTAATTTCCTGAGAGCCCCTCCAGCTCCTTGCGAGGCTTCAGTCGCATACTGCATGGTCTCTCTTCGGCAGCTACCTGGCGGAGTGCCGAGGGGTGTGTCGAACTGTCCGTGGCAGGTCTGGCCTTTTTTGGGGTTGAGGGTGTGGGGTTTAGGGTTTAGGCGGTTTAGGGTTTAGGGTTTAGCGTTTAGGGTTTGGGGTTTAGGGTTGTATACAGCTCTCCCGGAAAATCCAAACAGTGTTTCCGCAGTTCTTCAGACAAGCTTGCGTGACTGCGATGCCACGACAATGACCCATCCGTCCCTTGAAGCCCAAAATCCTCCCTAGGGTTTAGGGTTTAGGGTTTAGGGTTTAGGGTGTTTAGGTTTAGGGTTTAGGGTTTAGGGTTTAGGGTTTAGGGTTTAGGGTTTAGGGTTTAGGGTTTAGGGATTAGGGTGTTTAGGTTTTAGGGTTTAGGTTTAAGATTTAGGGTTTACAAGATATTGAAGTTTGTTTGGGCAGGCAGAGGGACAGAGCCCCATGCAAAGACGA